TTTGTACATATGTTGCCATCATCATTTTCAAAACATTTTCTTTCTACTTGAGCCCTTGGTATCAGCTCCTCTTTTTGCCCCTCCCACCCTCATGAATCCTTGATCAATTATATATTATTTCGGATCTTACGCTGTTCATTGTCTCCCTTCACCCACATTTCTGCCCCTCCAGCTTCCTTTTGTCCCTATTCATTTTTCTTTACCACCCAATGCCTTTGCTTCCCTCTCCTCTTTTCCTCCCTCCCCTCCCCTCCCCTCATTTCCTGTCATTCCCCTCATCCTTTTCTCCTTGGCAACAGATCCTATTCTAATTGCAGTTCCCTTGTTCATTAGCAGCATGATGATCTTAGGACAGTTATCTTCTCGGGACAAGGGGGGATTCCCTAATAAGCAAAGTACACATGGGTTTGCTTGTGCTTGCTTACTAATATGTACTGAGCAAGTTCCCCACATCTTGAATGTGGTGGAAAACACTGTCCAACTGTCCATTATAGATTAGGACATACAAGGAAGCCCATGCTCACCCACTGAAAACAACGACGTTGATTCTGTAGAAAGGCACTGGGGGGTTGGGAGAGGCAGATGACAGCCATGCCTAGAAATAGAATCTTCGCTGTGGTGAAAAACTGAAATTGTTCACTACAGATTAGTAAGTAAGCACGAGTAAACCCATGCTTACCTTGTTTACTGGGTAATCCATCACGGTCTCTGGGCTTCGGGTTCCTCAGTAAAAGGGGTTTAATAGGGGGTGACTGACCATAAACCCCAAACTGCCAGTGAACCATTCTGACTCATTGCGATCCTACAGAACAGAGTACAACTGCCCCAGGTGAGTTTCTCTAACTATAAAGCTTTAAGGTTGCAGACAGTCCATCTTTTTCCTCTGCTGATCTTGCAGTTAGCAGCCCAAGGCTTAGCCCGCTACGCCACCAGGGAAATCAAAGGGACAACAAAGAACACGACCTACGTCTAGCCCCGTGCCTGGTCCACAGTAAGAATTCAGTGTGCCCACATCCGTCTCCCTTCTCTCTTCGCCCCGCTTCCCCTGTGCCTCAAGGCTAGAGCCCCGCAGGTAAAAATCGTGGGGAAAAACTTCCACCCGGATCAGTGGGAAAGCCTGCGCTAGGGGGCGGGGACTGCGAGGTGCCCCCTGCGCATGCGCGCATGCAGGGTCTGGGTCCCACTCCGGGAGGTAGGGGGAAGCGCGGCGGAGGAAAGGAGAGGGCTCCGGAGCTTCGTTTGTCCTGGCCGCTCCTTTCCGGTGTCGGCAAGCGGCGGGACCGTGTGGCGTTCGCGGCGGACACGACGTACAC